TCGACCTTTTGTCTATCGACCTTTTGTCTATCGACCTTTTGTCTATCGACCTTTTGTCTATCGACCTCTTCTATACTTCGCGACGTTTTCTGCAGTAGGGTTAAATACCCCATTTCCGGCCTATTAAGCACAACCCACACTTAATCTTTCTTAATCTAGCGCAGTTTAGCACCAAACGGAATGTTATAATTACTGATAGCTTCCAAATTTATTTACCTTTCCGTATGTACCGTAAAATTTGATAAAGAAAAACCAATCGTTGAGACATTGTCAAAAGTCTAACACTGCTTCTTGACACCAAACTCGGCCTACTGATTCTAAACTCGGCCTAACGCATTGAAACGCCTTTGAAACGCCAATGAGTTCACTTCGGCCTATCGGATGAAGATAAAAATTGATTCGGTCGGAGCGCTTCTTTTGTTTTTGGGAATAATGGTTGCAACCCTTCATATAACGCGTTCTCATTGACTTCGTTCCGGAGCTTATTAACTAAAGTATCGTACCAAACGCATAATTGACTTGTAAACTCTGAAATCATGGATTTATTTGAAGTTTTCTGTTCGATAGGCCCAAAATGGGCGATTAGGCCGAAGTAGTTCTCTACCCTACCGAGTTTTTTTACTATCTGTGAAGAATTCCACATTTTTCTCGCACTGCAAACATGCCGATGTTCTCCAGGCTGTCATTAACTGTCGAGACTTCTTGAAGGTTCTCGTTATTTACTTGAATTTAATGGAGCTGCTCTAAAGTACTCAAAATTCATCTGAGCTCTTGGAACTTCCCTGAAGATCCCACGATTTACCTGACAATCATGAACCTGCCCTGAATGATCATTATTAGGTAACTTCCCTTAAGATCGTTAAACTCAACTGAAGTTTTGGCAGCGGAACCTTCTGAAGTTCCTGCCCAAGTAGCAGTTTTGGTTTTATGAGGGTTCTGTAGACCACGATTTAGACTTGTAGGTTTTCAAACCTCGATAAAACTTGCAATGTTACTTGGGTGCAATTTTCCTGAATTTAATAGAACTGCTTTAAAGCTCCTGAATCTTCCCTGGAGCTCTCGAAACTTTACTGAAATAATTGGATCTACCCTGAAGCTACCGAAACCTACCCTAAAGATCTTAGACCATCCATGGTGGTATTCTGAACGTTCTTGACGTTTTTGGAACATGGAATTATCATATCATCCTGAAGGTTCTAGCAATTTTGCTCATGTTAATAGAACTAACGGAAAGTTTCAATATTTTCCTAAAGTTCTCGAAACTTCATTTAAGTTCTCGCTATTTAGGACTCTTAATTGAACGATCAGAGAACTTCAGGAAAGTTTCGAGATCTTCAGTTCAGCTCTATGAGCTTCAGGAAATTGTCTTGAACTCAGATGAGGATCAGATACGTTCACGATAGTTCCATTAAATTCAGGAAATATCCTTCAAGAACCTTCAGAAAACTTCAGGTAAGTTCAAAGATTTTTATGAGAACTTCGAGAACTTGAGGGAAGTTCCAAAAACTTCTGAAAATTTCTAAGAACTTCAAAATGATTGCAGGAACCTTACAGATGTTTCAAAGTTTCCTGAAAACTGTGAGTCCCGTGAATGGCAGAAAAATTGCGAAACTTGATGTTAATTCCATGAACATAGAAAAACTGTGGCAATCATCAAGAAGTTTTGAGAATTTCATGAAAGGTATGAAAACTTCTTGATAGTTCCAAGAACTTCAAGAACGTCCAGAACTAAGTTTTAAGATCTTTAATGTTAGGTTCCTACAGTTTCTGAGCAGTTCCATAGATTTCACACACTTTACAGAAGTTGCCAAAGCTTCAATTGAGTTTAAATATCTAAATGGAAGTTCTGAGAACTTCAAAGCACTTCCATTCAATTCAGCAAAACTGCTGGATCTTTCAAGAAGTATCAAAAATTAAAGAAACTTTAGAGAAAAAATCGAAAACTCCACAGAAGCTCTACTAAATTCACGGAAGTGCAGAAAATTTTGAGAAGTTTATAAAAAGAGAGAGAAGGATTAGTAATTTCCATTTAATTCCACTACCTTATTTGCTTAGTCTTGACAGATACACGTATTTCGTCTACAATGTGCAGACTTCTTCAGTGTCTTGTACTTATACTCGACTTAAGAAAGTTATTAGATCTTTAGGTGGACAGTTCAAACATGCTCAGAAGAATAATGAGAAGTTCAGAGAAGTTCTATGAAGTTCAGGGCGGTGCACAAAATTTTAAGGAACTTTAAAGAAGTTCAGAGGAATGAAAGGAAATACAGATATACCTCGATATAACGTAGCTGTCACTTTTGACCGTCATCGGCGATATCTGCTTGATTAGTACCTTTTGCTTGATTGAATGATCATTTGCGAGAAATCGGCGATGGAAGTCATAAGTGACAGTTACGTTATATCGAGGTGTACCAGTACCGAGGGAAGTTTTGGGAACTTTGCATCGGAAACTTCAAGGCAGTTCCATCAGCACCAAGTAAACTGGAGCAACTTTTAAGAAGTTCTGAGAACTTCAGAAAAGTGCCGAAAACTTGAGGAAAACTGTGGATATTTTAAATAAATTCCAAGAACCTCAGGTAAGCTAGGCTCAGCGATTTTCAGAGATGTTCAGAAATCTTAAGGGCAGTCTCAATAACTTTAGAAATATCCAAGATATTTTGGGGAAGTATACCCAAGTAACCAAAAGTTCCGCATTCAACGATTAAAATCCCTTCCAAGTTCCATAAAGTTCAAATAAAGCTCTGACAGAACTTTCAAATTCCCTAAAGTTCGAATAAAGTTCTGACAGAACTTTCGAGTTCCATAAAGTTCAAATGAAATTCCGACAGAACTTACAAGTTCCTTAAAGTTCGAATAAAGTTCTGACAGAACTTTCAAGTTCCATAAAGGTTAAATAAAGATCCGACAGAACTTTCAAGTTCCATAAAGTTCAAATAAAGTTCTGACAGAACTTTCAAGCCACATGAAGCAATCCGCACAAGTCTTTATTAGTAACAAAATTTAATGTACGTGAATATGAAATGATCAGTGGCCCGAATAAATCATAATTCTTATATTTATGCAGTGCATCAAAATTCTATCCAAACATAAACAAAAATCAAATTTAATGTGACCTGCCTTTAGAAATAACTTTCATAAAAGTGCGAACTAAATATAGAATTGGTGTAGAGGACAAAAACTTTTTTTTTAATTTATTTTCTAAAAGTTCCGTTCAAGTTCCGCCAGATGCTGCTTAGAATGCTCTTCAATTTTGGTACCGGAGCTTTCAAGTTCTTATAACGGCTTAAAATGAGGCTGCTTAGAATTCCATAGACCACCTTCAACCAAGCTGCTTAAGCCACGAATAGCCTTTTATCAGAACTTTTGGTTACTTGGGTAAAGATCTGTAATGGATAGTTTCGATGAATTCAGGCCTTTCCATGAATTTCAGGAAAATTTCGAAAAACAATAAAATGTTTTGAGAGTTTTAGGGCAGTCCAGAGAACTTCTTATAAGTTTTGATAAGGTTGAGCGACCGAGATCCCGATGTTTGTTGATTTCTGATTATGGCTTACTCAGCCTTGGGTAATCTAAACGTTCAGTTTTGCATTGCCTGACGATTCGGACGATTTGAGGGGCCACAATAAACGGCTGAAACGTCGGGCAATGCCAAACTGGCAAACATTTTTAAAACTTTACGGACGTTCAGAGAAATTCATTCGGATGTTCAAAGGTTTTTAAGACAGTGTCAATAATTTCAGAGCATTTCCAAAAACTTCGGGGTAGTAATGGGAATATCAGAGAACCTCAATTAACTTCAAGTAAATTGCAGGAATTTTACAGAAGGTCCATGATACTCAGGAAATTTCCTAAAACTTCAGAAAAGCTCCAAGCTTCAGGGTAATTGTTGGAACGTTAGAAAAGTTCCCATAACTTCTTATAAATATAGGGAGCATCATAATGGAGGAACAAAGTCCAGAGAAGTTCAAGGAAGCTTCTAGATTTGAAGGAAAGCTTCATGACCTGCAAAGAAGATTTTGAAGCTTTTGGAAAATGGCAGAATATATCAAATAACTCCAAAGCATTTCAATTAGCTTCAGAAAATTGCGAGAACTGACAAATTCGGAGAAGTCTTGAGAACTTAATTGAAGTTCAGAAATCGTTAGGGCAGTTCCAAGCACCTAAAACTTCAGCGATGTCTAGAGTTTTGGAGAAGTGTAAAGATCTTGAAGAAGTAGCTTTTTTGGGTTTACAGTCTTCCAAAAAAATGCTGATTACAGTTTTATCATCGCTTTGAAACGTTAGCAGTTGAATCCCTTTTACTTCATCACAAATTTAGGAAAAATTTTATTACTCAAAGATTGCTAACAGAAACATGTTTGCTTTTCCCTGCCGAATGTGGCAAATCAGTTGTCCAATGCAGTTTGATCATTCAATCTCAAGTGACCGAGCAATTGCATCAACCCGCTCCGAATTGAACCAAAATTGGTGGGTCTACTTATTTCAGGCCAAATCAAAAAAATTAGAGATTTTTTTCGAAACCTTCGGAAGAACTTCAGAGCAGATCCATAAACTTCAAGAAAATTGTGCAGCTTTTAAGAAGTTCTACGAACTTCCAGTGAACTTCAAGGAAGTCCAGAGCATGTAAGAAAATCCTTAGTTTTTCGATGAAGTCTAGCGAATTTCACAAATGTTTACAGATTTTTAGGGTAACGTCAAGAACTTTAGCACAGTTCCGAGAACTACGTCTCAGATATTTTTATGATGATCTGAATGCAGACAAGTTTTACTCATATCTCAGTGTCGGTTTGAGGGAACTAAATTGCATGTACATGCAGATATAAATTCCAATCTTAGATGGGAACGCCTGGCTTTAAGGTGGGTGGGGTGCGCACATCTCAGAAATCAAAGAGTAACCAGCTTTGAATTTACCTTGATAGTACTGCTATAGATTCGAACTATGCATTTCAAGTTTTCTAAAATTCTAAAATCCCCATCACAAGAAAAAAAAAACTCACCTGCACGGAAGATCCAACCGAATTCCACTTGCTTTTCGGGTCAGCCCACGTAGCTAAACTCAAATGAGCCACCTGCCACCGATTGCACCGATCGGTGCAGCACTATCTTCTCTTTGCGCAAAAATTCCTTCCACTTTCTTACGACGCTTCGACGACGACGACGACGACCACTTCAACAGTATCAGTAACAACAGGGCAACACCATACAGACAGGGGCGAGCTTCAGGCAGGAGAAGCCCGGAGAAATTCCTTCCCGCCGACCACTGCTGGTCGTTGTCGGCAGCAGCCTCAGCAACAACAACGCCCCGCAAGCAGGCAAGCGACGAACCCCTTCTGAGTCAGCTCAATTCAATTCACTCCCGTTCCGAGCCGTATCCAATGTCTTCGACCAACAGAAGGGAACGAAAAAAAAAATCAACAAAAACACCAGAATAACAACCGAAAACACTCACTCTTCCGGATGGTTCGTCGGCGGAATACTTGGGAACCCGCTGAACGATGATTTATTGAATCCAATTATCCTTTATTTTATTTTGTAGCCTGTGTGGTGTTGTTGTTCTTTTTCTTCTCTCGCCGTGTGCCTGTTCTCCGTTCACTCACTTGGTTACACGTTGGACAAAAAAAAACTAGGCGAACTTACGGTTTCTCACACAATTTATCCGCTGCAATTCTTGGTTCTCAACCTAGGAGTCGCAAGCAAAAAGAATGTAACTCGTCGCCAACTTTTACGACTTGAACTTGAACTTGTCACACTAGATGTCGCTGGCACCCGAAAAAAAAACAGTGACTGCTGATCAACTTTCCACTCTCGCTCGGACCGTGTCGGAGAGATGATCGATCGATGGACACTCGTACGCACCCTGTAGGTCCCTTAACCTACACGCACACTCACACGTACGCACGGCACAAATTGGAGCACTTGTTTTTTTTTTTGTTCCTTCTCGAGACGAACACCGTCGATGCAATATGTAGGTGCACTACACGGGAAGCACGTGTTTCTCCGGAAAGACGTTACTGCGGAATAATCCGTCCTGATAGCGCTGAAACCGTCGCAGGCCCCGACCCGAGATCCGCGCTGTTGCTGCGATGTGTGGCAATTTCCCTCCCGTTGAGGTTACTCTCCGTCTCTCACCAATCGCTCCCTCTCTCGCTCTGGATAAAACGAAACCAGCATAACTTTCTTTACCAAAAAGAAAAAGAAAAAAACCCAAGAATGGATACATCTCTCCTTGAACTTGCACTTGCGGTGGAGAGCCGAACTGCTGCCGGTCCGGAGCGCCGATGATCGCTGAATCTCGCGAGCAATAGGTTGGATGGAGAGATGATGAGAGCCAGACTGCTGGCGATCGCGATGATGATGATGATCGTCATCGTCATCTCGAGAAAGTTTGGCTGGTAAGAGGAAAGAGAACGGCAAGACCTTGAAAGAAATGCTCGATCATGGCACGATCGCTAGGGTGGTTCACTATTCGATAATGATTAAGAACTCACAAATGTAGATCGCAAATTATTGCAAGCTTGAACTTGAGGAAAGTTCCGCGAACTCCGCGAAGATGTTTTCCAAAATGCATACCATAACTACAACTTCATTTCTACCGATTATACTGGACTTGTCCCATTGACAAATCATAACCAACTTGGCGCTGTATGAAGGGCTAAAAACGGAGACCCGTAAGCAGAAACGCCTACACGAAACCCATTGGGAACAGAAGGAGAATCTCCTTCCAGCAAACAAGATCATATAATTCGCCCTTTATTCACGAAGTTCCCTATACATTTACAAAGCTACTTTAACGTCTAGAAAAACTTCTCACCTTTCCAAAATTCTATGATATTTTGATTTTTATGTCCTCAATTCAACCAAGATCTCAGAAGATCCATAAGCTTCTCCAAACTTCCGGATAGAACTGTTCTACGATTTTTTTTCTAATTATCTAGGCGAAACAAAACTTCCAAAAGTACTAGAATCTTCAACGAACTGCTACCATAGAGGTAACTCTAAGACCACTGGGTCCCGAAGAAAATCATTATTATTTTTGGCTCACTCAGTACCAGAACAACGGTCCCAAGCAGTCCCACGTTATTTCACTCACCCCTGCATGTTCTGCATGAATCCACACACCCCTGATGTTATCTGTCAAACTTTCATAGCGAATCAAAACAAACATAGTGTAGTAATAGAATTTCAACTAGAATAGGGTACGTTAATCGTTTGCTTGGGACCAATAGGCTACTAAAGTGGTGAGCCAATTTAAAATCGTTAGTTTCGTATTGATTGTTGCTGCTACGAAGTTCCCTAAACTACACAGTGGGCCAGAAGACGAAAAGACCAACAGTTTTAAACGAAACATTTCTGAGGCTTGGTGTCTTCTAAGAAGTTTCTTATTAAAACATAAACCATCTAATGGCATAAGCAGATAGTTCGAAACTCATCCGCATAAAGGGTGTCCCACATCAAATTGCATCACGGAAAAAACGCGGTAGAAAATTACCCATTGGGTATTTTCTCTTGAAAATTTGGGTGAAAGTAGTTTAGAGTGCATTGCTTACACTGTATTTTTATCGCTGTCAGTTTCGAAAGTCATGCGAAAAAGCAACGTCACGAATTGATTTTACGCAAGCACCTGGAAAATCCTCAACTCTCTCATCGGGACATTGGAAAACAACTCGGAATCGTGCAGTCAACGGTGAGTCGTGTGATTAAACTTTACTACGAAACTCTGAGCATCGAACGGAAGGAGAAATGCAGTCAGAATGGATGTTCTATTAGTGATCAGGATCACAAGCGTGTCGTGAAAGCGTTTAAGCGGAATCCCAATGCCTCGGTGTGGCCAAAAAGTTGAATCTTGCCAAGTCTTTCGTTCAGAGAGCCAAGGACCGGTGCAGAAGGCTCCAAATCGTGACGAACGGTAAAATACAGTGCGCAAGTCACGGACACGGAAACTGTAGACCCAGATGATGACGAAGCCTCATTGTATCATCATTAATGATGAGACTTACGTTCTGTTCTTCACCGCCCTGCACAAGTTTGATGTTCCGGAGGAAGTAAGGAAGCAGAAACTTTCAAAGTTTGCCAAGAAATACATGATTTGGCAAGCGGTCTGCCCATGTGACAAACGGAGTGCGCCGTTTGTGACTACCGGGACTGTAAACGGGAGATCTACCTCAAGGACCCAAGTAACCAAAAGTTCTGATAAAAGGCTAATAAAGGTGGTCAATAGAATTCTAAGCAGCCTCATTTTTAAGTAGTTATAGAAACTTGAAAGTTCCGGTATCATAATTGAAGAGCATTCTAAGCAGCTTCTGGGGGAACTTGAACGGAACTTTTAGAAAATAAATAAAAAAAGGTTTTTGTCCTCTACACCAATTCTATATTTTTGTTTTCGCACATTTATGAAAATTATTTCTAAAGGCAGGTATTAATGTGTATTGATTTATTTTATTTATTTATTTAATTAAATCTTCAACATAATGTTGTGCAGATATTGTCTAGGCTAGGTGTCGAATTCCATGGCTGTAAGTAGACTTACTAATGTTAAAATCATATACATCAAACGTTTCATTAAACACACGACAGCACAAAGTCCACGGTTCGTTGAATCCATAGTTGGTTCGTTGAATCCATAGTTGGTCCATAGGTTGCCACAGAAGCGTGTAACTACGTAGAACTCTTTGAGGAGCATTGATGTAGATTTGGCTCACAAGAGAGTTGCAATCCACGTCACCGTTAAGCAATCCAAACACGAAGAGTCGCTGAAGTAGTTTCCTCCTTGCTGCCAACGTGTCCAGGTCAATCCGCCTGCACCGTTCTTCGTAAGGCGGCAAATTTACCGAATCGTTCCAGGGCAGAACACGTAAAGCGTATCTTACGAAGTTTCACTGAATGGCTTCGATTCTGTTAGCTTGAATAGCGTAAAAGGGTGCCCACACAACAACAGCATACTCTAGAAGACTGCGGACGAGAACACAGTATTGTGATTTCAGCGCGTAGATGGAATGCGTTTGTGTTTCGTTTCAAGAAACCTAATTTGGCGAATGCTTTAGCAGTTATCATGGAGATGTGCTCATTGAATCTGACTTTAGAGTCGATGATAACACCCAAATCCTTAACTGAAGAAACGAAGAGCAAACTACTGAGTCCTATCCTATAGTCATGTCGTAAGAGCTCGCGTGAACGGCTAAAAGATATTGCGTAGCATTTTGTGACATTAACCTGCATACCGTTCAATGTACACCAGCGCAAAAGGGAATCAATATCCTTCTGGAGTGCGCAACAGTCAAGTATTGACTTAATTGTACGAAAGATCTTTAAGTCATCGGCGAACATAAGTTTCGAAGAACACAGTCGACTACACAGATCGTTCACGAACAGGATGAAAATTAAAGGCCCCAAATGACTACCTTGGGGAACACCAGAGGGTATCTCGAAACTAGGCGAATTAACACCGTTAATGCTCACATAGGCTGAGCGGTCAGTTAATTAAGACTGTAGCCACTTCGTGGCCCAATTAGGTAATCCCATACACCTCATTTTGTCCACTGCAAGCACATGTGGAAGCCTATCGAACGCCTTACTGAAATCCACGTAGATCGCATCAACTTGTTGTCGTTTTTCAATGGAGTTGATCAGCGAGTTGACAAACACCATTAAGTTGGTTGTTGTAGAGCGTTTCCTCACGAAGCCGTGCTGATGTTCGGTAATTATTGGCCTAACCGTTTGATATACGGCAGCTTAGAATCGAAATTCCGAGATAATTTTCAACGTTGTGGATGTTTCCAGCTTTGTGAATAGGTGTGATGGACGCAACCTTCCACATTGTGGGGAAAACACCACTAACTAGCGAACGATTGAAAATAATCGACACGAGATATGCAGAAAATTTCTTAATGAACGATGGCGGCAAACAGTCTGGATAAGGGCCTTTAGAAGGATCTACAGATGAAAGAACTTTCATCACCTCTTCAACAGATACATCCAACTGCGGCAAATGCAAGTTGTAATGAGCTATGCTGCTCATCCAGTCAGGGCGATCATCCGGAGAATGAGCGGGAGGGGTAGTCGAAAAAACATCCTTGAAGAATTTTGCGAAGAGATCAGAAGCTTCTTCCGCA